CAATGACTCCTTGAAATGACTCCTTGCAATGACTCCTTGATGACTCCTTGCAATGACTCCTTGCAATGACTCCTTGCAATGACTCCTTGCAATGACTCCTTGCAATGACTCCTTGCAATGACTCCTTGCAATGACTCCTTGCAATGACTCCTTGCAATGACTCCTTGCAATCCTTGCAATGACTCCTTGCAATGACTCCTTGCAATGACTCCTTGCAATGACTCCTTGCAATGACTCCTTGCAATGACTGACCTTGCAATGACTCCTTGCAATGACTCCTTGCAATGACTCCTTGCAATGACTCCTTGCAATGACTCCTTGCAATGACTCCTTGCAATGACTCCTTGCAATGACTCCTTGCAATGACTCCTTGCAATGACTCCTTGCAATGACTCCTTGCAATGACTCCTTGCAATGACTCCTTGCAATGACTCCTTGCAATGACTCCTTGCAATGACTCCTTGCAATGACTCCTTGCAATGACTCCTTGCAATGACTCCTTGCAATGACTCCTTGCAATGACTCCTTGCAATGACTCCTTGCAATGACTCCTTGCAATGACTCCTTGCAATGACTTTCATGATGATGATTCCTTGCAATGACACCTTGTACTGACTCTCATGAGAACAACTCAAGTGAACCCAGCGGAAGAACCCTTCGCCATGCTTTCGGGAAAACAGACCCATATTTCAAAAGATCAGGGCCAAACCAGGGCTCGCATCCCGACAGGCATCTCAAGACGGGCACTCCCATGGACAAATACCTCTTCGTTTTGCCTTGACTTCCCTCCCATGGCCATCCTGCCCGAGTCGGCCATCCGGGTTCTGTGCCTCAGCCAAGCCTGTGCCAAAGCAGGACCAACTCCATGGATCCTGCGAGACACGAGTTAAAAAAAGAACGAAACAACGGACGTGTCCAAAGAGGACGAACATCACTGGCATGGTAGGCGTCCCTTTGAAACAAACCCAAAAAGGGTGTCCTCAAAGAAAACACGCACGCACACACACAAAACTGGTTACAGTACTCAAGGATCAAACAATCTGTGAAACAGTGACACTCTCCGAAATGGTTGAAATGACATGCCTTGAGCCAAGCAGAAGTCATTGTTTCACCCCAACAAGGCACTTTACATCAGCTACTTGTCAGTGAACCGAAGGCCAGGGGCGAAGTTTATCCTAGCCCGACAGCAAGTAAGCAAGCAAAACGCTCCTGGTCATCTCGAGCAGGGCGTGAATGTCGCCATCCTCGAAACGTGACTCGCATTGCAGCCTGAAACTGACATCCCGCAAAGACCCTGGGTCAAATCGCTTGACCCATTGGCGTTTGGTCACTCATTATTTTGCTTGGATGGGTGAATCGGTGCACACAAGATGCGAGGCGAATAATTCAGGGCCATGTGGCATGTAGTCTGAAACAGTGTTTGACATGGGTTTCCTTGTTCACGTAAGCACGAACAATAAGTCATGCAGTCATGCAGTTTGAGCAGCTAGTGTGCGAAACTATCCGTATGCTGGACCGCCACAATCCCGCAGCACAGCAACTTGTCCCACATCCGGGGTACATATGAAAAGCCATATTTGCAGCACCTCCATACTTAGTCTACCCTGATATATAAAATCCGTTTGAAATGCCGATGCTTAAGCCAACTTGAAAAAAGACGAAGCAACATACATATTTCCTAGGAACAAATTCCCGGTAAAACCAACGTGGGGAAATAAAACACATATGGGTTTGCCTCAAAATAGGAGTCCCCCAAAAATATTTTGTTTTCCTCCATTGGCTGAAGTCCAAAGGATAAAAAAACAGTAGTGATAGCTTCCCTTTAAAACCCACAGTTTTTTTGTTTTTTTACATATTCTTGACCAAATGTTGCGCTTTCCTTTGGTTTCCCTTCAAACCAAGCCCCACAAGGTGGCCCAAACTCAAACGGACGACTCGAGTCGACGGAACCTCGTGCCTTTCGAAAGGCCTCCGCCTGCTCCAGACAGCCCGTTTTCTGGATCTCCTTGCGCTATGCGCGCGCTGGTTTTGCTTGGTCGCCGTTGTGGTGTTGCTAAGGTCATTGTGGAGGTTGGTGCTGCGAGTGTGGATGTGGTGTGTGGTTGTGGTGTTGCTAGTCTAGGGGACACTTCCCCATTCTTTCCCGGGATCCTTCTTTTAAGAAAACCATCAGAACCCCGGGGGAATCAGCTGGTTTTTGAAAAGAACGATGGTTTAAAAGAATGGGGAATCAACCCCTAGAGCTATGGTCATTGTGGACGTTGGTGCTGTTGTGGATGTGGGTGCTGTGTTGCTCTTGCTCGCAACAGTGGCCATTGGCACTGGTTTCCATTGAAACCGCTGCTTCGGGAGCTCCCACAAAAAAAAGTTGTTCAGAGCCTGGCCAAAAAAAATGGTGGGAACCCTTGCTAACCAGGAAACTCAGTGGTGTCCACTGAAACCACTGCGTTTGGAGGTCCCAAAAACAGACCAATGGCCAAAGATCCGTCACTCCCGGCACTTCTCGACGAACTTCGGGGTGAGGCCCAGTCGCCGCAGCTCCTGACCAAGGAATCCACTGGGTTTTGTTTGGAAACCAAGAGGAAAACCATGAATTTAGGGTGAACCGTAACAAATTCACAGGTAGGCTACTTGCAACACAGGTACTTTGAGGGCCCAAACAACTGGAATGGGACTTGAGGTGCTTTGAAGCCAAATTCAGTCACAATCATGAGAATCATCCGTATTTATTGACCCCCTATATTTACCAATGAAACCACCCCTGGCAAACTAAAGGACAATGGCTAGCTATACTGGTATTTGGGATCTGAGAGTTGTTCCGCGCTGATGTCCCTATACCCATGGGTTTCGTTGCCGCATTAAGAACTTGAACATGTGTTGCAAACAGCGAAGGTGGCCAAGCGACACATCTTCCAAAGGAACGAACACCAGCTTCCAATCCCGTCCACTTATGTCTCAACGACCAATCACCCGTCCACATACTAAGAGGCTTGGTTCCTAGAAACAGCATCCATGTAAAGAACACGGGATCAAAATCCGATTCTCACAGTGGAGGCTAATCAAACTTCTGAACAATAAAAGAAACGGATTAGCTGCAAACCAGTCAAGCGATCCTCACAGTTGGGGGCGTGTTTCGGAGCAAGCATCCGTCCGTCCGTCCGTCCATCCCTCCATCCCTCCATCCCTCCATCCCTCCATCCCTCCATCCCTCCATCCCTCCATCCCTCCATCCCTCCATCCCTCCATCCATCCATCCATCCATCCATCCATCCGGAAGCATGTACAGCGCGGCCATGTTTTGGACTATTTTGCCCAACCCGTCCTTGTATAGGCGGATGAGTGATGCTGAATATTCACCCCTTGCTCCTTGTTGTGTTTATGTCGGTCTCAGCCCCAAACCCTAACTCGAAGCAGCACTTTGAACACCGAGTGCAAGTGCGGGGGGCCGAATCATGTGCTCACTTGTTGTTCCACACTTTCAGAACGTTTTCAACAACTTGGACTCGCACCATGTCAAAACAGCCCTGAATTCAAGCTCAGCTGGTCTTGAACCTGGCTGCTGTCTCCGCCGTATTCAGTATGACCCCAGGTCACAACAGCCCCAGATTCAAGAATGGCAGCAAAAGCGCGTTCAGTTGCTTGGATGCTCTGGACGTTCCTCAGCTGCTCTTGCACATGGCGGCTGTATCCGCCGTAGTCAATCTGACCCCAGGTCACAACAGCCCCAGATTCAAGAATGGCAGCAAAAGCAAAGTTAGTTGCTTGGATGTGCTGGACGTTCCTCAGCTGCGCTTGCACCCGTGTGCTGTCTCCGCCGTATTCTGGATCACCCCAGGTCACAACAGCCCCAGAATCAAGAATGGCAGCAAAAGCAAAGTTAGTTGCTTGGATGCTCTGGACGTTCCTCAGCTGCTCTTGCACGTGGCTACTGTCCCCGCCGCATGCAGGACGACCCCAGGTCACAACAGCTCCAGATTCAAGAATGGCAGCAAAAGCATCCTCGCGGTTTGCTTGGATGTGCTGGACGTGCCTCAGCTGGTCTTGCACCTGGCTGCTGTCCCCGCCTCGGTCTGGACGACCCCAGGTCACAACAGCCCCAGATTCAAGAATGGCAGCAAAAGCGCTGTCAGTTGCTTGGATGTGCTGGACGTTCCTCAGCTGCTCTTGCACAAGGCTGCTGTCTCCGCCGTATTCAGGATGACCCCAGGTCACAACAGCCCCAGATTCAAGAATGGCAGCAGAAGCACGGGTAGTTGCTTGGATGCTCTGGACGTTCCTTAGCTGCTCTTGCACAAGGCTGCTGTCTCCGCCATATTGAGGATGACCCCAGGTCACAACAGCCCCAGATTCAAGAATGGCAGCAAACGCAAATTTAGTTGCTTGGATGTGCTGGACGTTCCTCAGCTGCTCTTGCACCTGGGTGCTGTCTCCGCCGTTGTCTGGATCACCCCAGGTCACAACAGCCCCAGATTCAAGAATGGCAGCAAAAGCAGCAAAGTTAGTTGCTTGGATGTGCTGGACGTTTCTCAGCTGCTCTTGTACCTGGCTACTGTCTCCACCGGTGCGTGGATCGCCCCAGGTCACACCAGCCCCAGATTCAAGAATGGCAGCAAAAGCTCCGTCAGTTGCTTGGATGCTCTGGACGTTCCTCAGCTGCTCTTGTACCTGGCTGCTGTCTCCGCCATATTCAGGATCACCCCAGGTCACAACCTTGGCCCCGTGGCCATTCAAAGCAAACGCCTTGCCAGTGGCAGCTAGTTTGCCCAGCTGCACAACCGCAAGCACCACATCTCCATCTCGCAACCCGGCTTGGCCCAGCGTGGCAGTCAAATCAAGCTGCTGACCTTTCGCAGTGAGATTCAACCGGCGCTGAAAATGTTGCTGCGCTGCAGCCTTTAGCTCGCTGATGGGCGTTTTCAGTGAGACCTCTGCGGAACAGCAATCTCCGCTGGGCAAGTGCACATGCACTTCCATCATGTTAGGCACTTTGGGCCTGACGTCTTGCAACTTAAGCCAAAGCCAGATCAATGTCAGCGATTCGGAAAGGGAAACAACCAGACTTGACGTCAACATTCAGCCCAACAGCCTAGGATTCGTTTTAGTCAAGGGCAGGTGCAAAGATGACTCAGACAGCACAGGCAAAGACTGGGTCAGAGGGCAACCCAAGCCACAGGAAAGGTGCGCCTAGAAGAGTTCGGAATGTCCACCCAGGGTCAATCTTCATGTTGTGAACTATGTTCGGGGAGTAACCCCCATTTCCTATCGACAACATGGTGAGTGTACCCAATGTAATCCCCTTTACGGCTGTAAATGACTGTGAATATTGACCATTGCTCACATCTTGCCCGCTGGGGCACACCGAAAATCATACTGTCAGATTCTGTTTCATATCTAGTCAACCCTGAAACACAAATTTTCGAGGAGACCCCAGACATGCAGGGCCGAAATCTGCCGGGCCCCCCCCCCTCCTCCTCCCCCAGTCGCCTCTGCGTCAAGCCTGCCCCGCGCTTGCGCCACGAGATTCTCTGCCTGGCCAGAACCACCAAGTGTCAGTCCAAAAGAAAAATGGAACCTGAAAGGGACCCCTGGTTGTAAGAAATGGACTTTCTGTGAAAAAGTGAGCTATGACTACTTTGCTATTTAAAGGGGGGTCCCTTGGTATCAAAAAAAAGGCCCAACCATGAAGTGACCCGCGCAAGACCATCTTCTTCTTAGGAGCCTCTTTTAGGTTTCATGTGCTTTTTGGGAGGGTAATCAATCCGATTCCCTCTTGGAAACGTGCAGAACTAGCTCCCTTTCGGACTCACACACCCGACAAACACGTTTCGTCCTTGTTGAAACTAGCAAACATATCTGGCGTTGGACAAAGAATTCCCGTTTCGAAACCCCACACACTGCAAAACTGGTGTTTCTCTCAGAGACTTGCAGAAATTGTCCCTTGAAGGCCAAAAAGCGGTTCTCCTTTGTTAGAAACCCAACAACTCTCCCAGTACAAGACTCGAACCAGCTTTTAGCCCATACGATCTCACAGCGCGTGAGTTTCGGCAGGCTCAATAAGTAGTTTTGAGTGAAAGCACTTGGCAAAACCGATACGCCGGATCTCTTGAGGCGCGCGAACCAAAATCCACAAGCTCTGTTAGAGGGGAGGACCTCCGCAAGCTTGCTGCACATTTCTGCAGAGCAGCTCTTTTGCGCAGATCATCTCTGCCAAATCTCTGCGGACGAGTTTGGCAGGCTCCCTGCAACTGCTCCAAAATCGCTGCGCCAGCAGCGATTTTGCGGACTCTCTCAAAACCTCTACGCAAAGTCTCTTGCTGACACCTGGGGGCCTGTGAACAACATCCTACAAAGTCGCGACCTATCGCAACCAGCATCCGCCAGAACTGCAGCCACGGTTTTGCGTGAGCTTCTTCAACCCTGTCACAGGACCGCCCGTTCAATCTAGAAAATCCTAGAACCAAATTTGGCGATTTCAACCGAGTGCCGCCGTTGCTGAAACTGTGAAAAACGTGCACTGTTACCATGAAGGGGCCATCCGAAAAAAGGATGGGGTTTAGAGAGGGGGTGGTAAACTCCAGTCGTTGCGAATCTCCAGACGTTCCCTTTCCCCCCCCCTCCCTGCTTCTTTGCCCGAACAAAAAACATGCAAGACACCGAAGAACTAACCTATTCCAAGTGCCAAACCCCAAGCACCGTTCAGCCCGTTCCTCCGCCGGCCTTCTTATACTGCCAGGACCGCCACTTGTCCCCGCGCACGGCCCATGCAGCGGCGCAGGTTCGGAACCTTGGTGAGGAAAAGGCGAATCGACGGCTGTAGCGGAAAGCGCAGGGCGAAAGCGGACGGCAAGTGCTTTGAAGCTATGGGCAATACCAAGCTCAGGCATGGTTAGAAGGAATTCATGTGTAAGCGTGCCAATATATTTGTGGAGGCATGGATAGAAGGTAATAATGTGTATGCCAATATCCCTGCGTACAAACAATCCAAACTGCACGAATCATTCCGCCATGCACGGGTGCAACTACGTAAATAAGAAACACCTGCTTGGTGTAAAGGCATGTTGGGCTGGTGCGGCCAGGGGGTCTCTTCTGAGCTGCATTTGCAATCTGTGTGCAGCCGGCATTGCAACATACGTATGATATGTGTATGTGTATATATAGATATATATATATATATATGCATATGTGTGCGTTTGTATACTTGTATACATATATATATATGTATATATATATATGTCATACACAGATATGCCAAAGATTACTTGCTCTCAGGATGTGCTGAGCGCTGGTTCGGTAGGTTCTAGATTCCTGTAAACGACAGAAGTCCCTCTTGACAACACATCTGACTGGCAACTTGGCCGTGTGTGCAGCGGCGTGAATATTTGATATACTCTTATGAATATCTTAGCCACTTGAGATAAATGTGCATACATACCCGCATTTTCTGTGTTGCGTATGTAAGTATCTGAACACCCTGTAACATGAATACGCACACGCTGACGAGTCCGCGCATAGACTTGGATTTTTGCCCGTGCCTGTGTGCGCGGTCCCTGGCATCTGTAGGCAAGAAGAAACCATCAATTCGCCCGGCTCACCTCGCCTACGGCTGACCGGCTGACGGCCCTGGCTCCTCCACAATCTTGGCACGGAAATCTGCCAAGGAGAGGTCACTCGGCCTGAAGGATGTCAACAGGGGCTCTTGGAAATGCCCCTAACTCGTGCCGTTTGGAGAAGGGGACTGAAACGAATCGATTCCAACATGTTGGCCAAAACGTAAAGTTTCCTCCAGTTCGAACCTTGGTAGACTAGCTTACGATTTCCCACCTCCAAAGCATAATTCCCCCGTGAGGCTTTCCTACCCACAAATGGCCGAGCTCGGATCGGCCCAGCAAAGTAGGTGGCTGGAAAACCATGCGTTGATCATCCCAGAAGCCAGCGGCCAAGAAAGGGCGCACCGATAATCTGATTCAACTAGGGGACCCACAACATGGTGTTTTTGTTTCGTTGGTTTCCATTTAAAACAGGGTGCCCCACAAAAAACAACCTCATTGCACCAAAAGGCCAGGAACAAAGGGTGTGACCCACCGGGCATTGTCTCGTGGTAGGGGTGTGGCCCCAAACAAGTCAAATGAGCCATGTCCAAAACGTGTCGTGATTCCCTATGTCGCATCCCTCTCCTTACGCCGCTTCCTTACGCAGCCTTACGCGCACCGTGCTTTCGCTTACGCGGCACATGGGCTTTAAGTAGGTCTTACGCAGCCCTTACGCCAGAGAGACCGGATGCAATTCCGTGGAAGGCGGCTTACGCGAGCACTTTTTCCTTTCACGCAGATGAAGAGCCGTGGAGGAAGATGAAGAGAAGGAAGAACAGCTTCATTGCAGAGAACTTGCGAGTCAACGCATTGTCGTCTCCGGCTTTGGGCCCTTCCAGCTCCCAAGAGCGGAGCTTATCGTAGAAGCGTCGTCTCCAATTGCAAGTATCCTTCTCGTTTGGCGGGGTCCTGCTTTCTCGCGATGGCGCTGCCTTGTGGAGCAAGGCAGAGCCGTGCGGCAGAGCTGGACAATGAGCTCGGCAGAGCTGGACAATGGCAGGTCTAGGAAGGGCTTTTCAAAGCCGGCAAGGCTACTACTCAGAAACGCAGCTGGGGCTTACGCGGGGGCTTACGCGAAGCTTACGCGAGCCTTACGCGGAAAACGCTCAAACATTCCCTAGTTTTGCATTGTGTAGTAGCAAAGGACAATATTGCTTTATAAGGCCCAATGGGTAGATATGACAAGCACATGACTAATGAGAAACACATGGATATGACAAACAACATCACTGAAGAAACACATGGGATATTCCAAACAACATGACTGAACAATAGCTTCCGCAATGCTTGCGCGACATGCTTTTTCGACAGTTGCTTACGCCGCCTTACGCCCGTGCAGGTTTTGCTTACGCCACAGCTGGATATGACATAGTCCCTGATAAACATGTAGACGGAGGTTTTGGACGTTGCACAAATGGAAGCATAGCGGCGCTCACTCGTAAATGAGCAAGCCCTTGAGCAATCGCCAGCTTCAATTGAGCAGTGGGTAGGAGGATGGCAGTAACAAAAGCACAACGGGAATTGGACAATTTTCTCTCACGTCATGCTGCGTGTTGCAACGTGAGCTCTCGAGTCTCCAAGGCCCAGGCACCTCCGGATTTGGCTCCTGGGGAACGGCAGGATGGTTGTGGAATTTGGTGGCGCCCCTGTGATAGCCAGGCGCCTGATTCGCCTACGAATATCTTTTCAAGCTCAAGGGGATAAAGCAGGGATGGCGGAACATGGCCAACTGCAACCCCGAAGACCCCGCATGCCTTGACATGGCAGCTCACTGAGTGGATTGGTCAGAAAAGTTCAAACTTGTTGCTCACTGCGAATTGAAAGCTCGATCACAGGGGAAATGAGACAAACGTTGACAAACCGGGGGGAACAGGGAAAAGTCAATCAGGGGTACCCCACCCCCCCACCCCCCAACCCACGCCCACGCCGGTCCAGTAAAACAAAGGGCAGCTCAAGGACCAAGATCTTGTTGTATGTGGTCTGTTTCCAGTCCTTGAATGTCCACTTTGAATTGTATATTCTAAAGGACCATGCTAATCTGAAGAATCCCGTGATTTAATCCCCCACGAAAGGGGAAGCCCGGAATTTATCCGAGGCTTCGCAATGCAACTTGATCACACAGGAAATGAGCAAAAACGAGTCACCTCAATCCAAACAGGCGAACGCGATTGCCTCGGACAAAAGACCAAACAGCAAACCCAGCAACAAATGAACCACTTCTCTCTTGAAGAACATGCCTCCCCATCCGGAGTCCAACAGGCGAAGAAACCAATGGCTCCATTCGAATGCTTTTGCTAGGCAAGAGAGTTTTTTGCCCATGGCGTGGACATCGTTTGCATGGGAATTCGTTCGCCAGCCCTTCTATTGAAGCTCAGGCGCTCAGACGCGGGACCCCCCTCTCCTTCCCCTCTTCACGGCGCCGCTTGCGGGAGGACCTGGCAGGCCATCCATCATCGGAGCTATTTTTCACATGGATCCCAGAGAGAAAAACAACAAAAAAGACTGGAGGGATCTGCAGCTCAACCCCCTGCCCCCTCCTGCCTCTTCGTTTGGCTGGCCTGTCACGCGGTGTCTCTAGGCCAGCCCCAGTACTATGAGTTCCAGGACCTCCAGATTCAGTAGTCCCCCAAAACCTTGCCCTTGAGGCTGAGAAACACGACGAATGATCACCACCAATTTCCCGCCGAGGGCCTGGTTGGTTTCCCACCTTCAGCCTGACCTATGTTGCAATCAACAACTGACAGCTCTCTGTTGAGTTCAAGCTGCGCAGAGGTAGAAATGGTTGCTCACACCGATATAAGTTGGACACATATATGCTCGCGCACACAAACACACACACACACACACACACACACACACACACACACACACACACACACACACACACACACACACACACACACACACACACACACACACACACACACACACACACACACACACACACACACACGCACACGCACGCCGCACGCGCACGCACGCACGCACGCACGCACGCACGCACGCACGCACACGCGCGCACGCGCGCACGCACGCGCACGCCACGCACAACACGCACGCACACGCACACGCACACGCACACGCACACGCACACGCACACGCACACGCACACGCACACGCACACGCACACGCACTACACGCCACGCGCACGCGCACGCACGCGCACGCGCACGCGCACGCGCACGCGCACGCGCACACGCACACGCACACCCACACACACACACACACACACACACACACACACACACACACCCAACACACACACACACACAACACACACGCACGCACGCACGCACGCACGCACGCACGCACGCACGCACGCACACACACACACACACACACACACACACACACACACACACACACACAATCTTGCTTAGGCCCGCCTCCTCCTTCACACCTCCTTGCGCCTGACGTCCGCGGCAAGAAAGTTGTCAACCACCAGTTCCATTTGTTTACCTCGTTTTTGCCCACCGACCCAGAAAGTCTTTATGATTTCGGTTTATAGTCTAGGTCCTCCGGTAGAGATGTTAGAATAAGGGTACCAACCTTTTTCTAAGGGCAACCTCCCAAAAAACAGAAACGGTAAAAGTTGGCACTACTGGGGGACCTAGTAGTGAACCTTCCAGAGATCCCAGCTCAGGTCGACTTGGCAGTGGCGGTTGGACTACTAGGTGCAGCTTCAAGCCACACACTGCATGGGTTTTCCGTTGGGCGTCCTTTGAACCAACCCCAAAAGGAAAAGCAAGAAAAATGCAGATGGCCAAACAAAAACTTTGGCCCAGAGGTGTGATGACCCCCCTTTTCAACTCCCTCATTGCTTCAAAGAGCGCAGCTCCTCTTCAAAATCTGTTAACATCGCTGCAGGTGTGCCACAGTGGCGCTTGCACGAAAGACCACCACGAGCTGCCGAACCGATCTCGATGCGTGATCGCGCTCCCTGACTTCTGTTCTTCAGTGCACGCGTCTGCCGAACAAAACATTGCAGACTCTGCCGAGATTCAATCACCCGAGCACCTCAGACTGTCTAGACTCATTCAAACTTCCACATCCCAGGCTTTCAAAAAGAGGGGCCAACCGCCGTCCGTCAAGCAGCTCTGGCAATCCACCTACGCCCCCGGCCTTAAGAGCCCAGGCGAATCGGATAAGAAGACGGGCTGAAAAATGCTGAACATTCCTATCACGATGACTCAATTTGGTTGTAAAGCCCCCCCCGAGGCCCTTATAGCAATCTCCCCCACCTCCCCGGGGCTGGCCTGGCTGGTCTGCTCCTCCTAGCCGATCAAAGTGAAACAAAGGTTCCATGGAGCTCAGAAAACATCCACTGAGCTTCGCGTGTCCCTCCGCACTTCTCCCACACAGCAAGAAAACATGCACAATTCGCATCGGGCTTAGCCATTAAATCTTTTAGAGGAAGCCTTAGATTCGGCGGCTGTTTTGCGTGCCCTGCCAGGGGAAGAGCCATTCGTTCCGACTCAAAACAAGCCAAAGTGTAGCTGACAGGACTTTAGCAGCTGGCCGCTATTTGAAGGCCGATAAAGGTTGCAAGTGGACCCCTTACTTGACAAGGGTCTACAGGAACATGATCCAATGGATCCGTGCATAGTGCAAGCAGTCCGATGGGGACCAATGCGGATCATATCTTCAAGACAATGCGCCGGAGGCAACTGTTGTGGCCTTTGATCCAGGACTGTTCACACATGCTGCTCTTCACGATCGGTTGGACGTTTCCACAGGTCGCCCCCTGGGCCGGATTGCGGCCCAATGCAGACCACGATGTCTGCCTCTGCGACGTGAGATGTTGTCAAAACCTAGTCAATCGCCAGGCTGATTAATCTGGGGTCCACATAAATAAAAGACGATGGACACCCAATATTAGGGCGAAAGGCAAACAAGCAAAGCCACGTCTGGCTAATCCCCGGATTGCAATACCTGAGCTAAACCTTGTTTTACGCCCTTTGCTGGCGAAATCCCAAAAGAAATCCTGATGCAAGAAATCCCGACGCCCAAAATGGGATCCACGAAAGTCACGGTGAACATGAAATCCACCCTCAAAATTGAGAACTCTCTCAGGTCTTCACTTGAAGCTCACCCGTCAAACCCAAACGGAGTCACACCCAAAAAGATGGTCAGTCTTAAAGGATCCTACCAAACGTGGACAACAACAAATGGGAAAAATCGCCTCGGCCTGGGCAAAATGATCCCTACTTTCCAGGTTGACTACTCGACCCCCAAACTTCGAGCCTCGCTCAAGGGCCGCCAAAGGTAGCGCTGCTCCGGAAGGCGCTTGCCCAGCAGCAAACTCTCGCAGAGCCAGCTGTCCGTGACCTCCGATCTGTTTGGTCCTCCCCTTGCCTCCATTTGCTTAAGTCCCCTGGAAAAGAATAATAATTCCAGTACTGATAGATTCCCTTTAAACCAACAGGGGAAAATGATCTTAACCAAATGGAAGCTTGGATGTTGAACCAGTTTGGCAGTTTGCCAAGAAGCTGCCTATGCTATCATCGCTGAGCAGTCTGCTAGCTGACCAGATACCAAGCTGACCAGCTAACTGTACTCGTGGGTGGCAAACCCAGACTATTTGGCCACAGCTGGTTGTCCCAGGAACTGGTGAAAGGGTGGGCACGCAAGGCCTGAAGAGAGGTGCCTTTCTGTTGAGGCAACCCAAACCCTGTAAAGCAGAAAACACATTATGGCCAATTTCCGGAACAATAAACCCTGGTTGATTCAGGCCCTTTTTGTGGGGTTCATCACTTCTGGAGGGAACACTCCCCCTAATGGGATGGGCTTATTCATCCGGGGCTTGCAGGAAAATAGTTGCCCCATGCCCAGGGTGAGGATGAAGGCAGAACACATTCGTCCACGTTTCAATCCTTGGCGGTTGAAAGATTGCCCCGCGTGATTTTCCGGGTCCACTCAGTTTGAGGTTGCGGCTGGTACCTTAAGGCTGATTTTGTGAACACGCATGTATGTGTGTGTGTGTGTGTGTGGTTTGCTGATCCCTTGCTAAAACAGCAAAAAGCGAAACACGTTTAGTGACATATGTCACAAACTGCCCTAAAGCTCAAAAGGTCTTAAGTCCAAGGGTATGGCGGGGAACTGCTAGATGGATAGATACGCACAGCTTAGATCAGATTCGATCGGCTTAGAGAGATGTATGGACCCACCGTAGCCCAGTCCAACTTGGATGCTCACTTCAGGGCAGACCCGTCACCTTCCGGAGCCCACCCGTCGCCCGCCCGCCGCGCGCCTTGAAGCAGCCACCGGCCTGCAGTTGCGAATCGACGAATCGGAGAATCGGAACCAGAAATTGACAAATTGACCCCCCGAATTCCCAGTTGGGTGCGCAGAACTAGGAAGTGGCACCACCATTACCCCTCAGGCGCTTCGAACATCTCACTTTTCCCGGGTCTTTGGATAAAAGCGCCCAGTCACAGGGAATGTGCCTGCACGAGAGGAAACCCTGAGCCTGAGAAATCAAAGAGTGGTCCAAGGAGACAATTCCTGTGCGTGATAGTTGCAGCCGTGTAACGGGGCGAGAGGGTAGGAGCCAGCAAAGCAATGCAGGGAACTGGCCATAACCTCCCATGAAAGCTGACGAGCCATGCTTTCTCAGGCGCTCGTGTGGTGAATTGCAGATATTCACTGCGTAGCGGGCAATCTGCGGTAGAGAAACATGGTTTTGGAAGCTTCTCCATTGGAGGGTAAAACGGCATTTTGTTTGCACTTTCGGCTTCCTCAGGGACCCAAAGGGAGCCGCGAGCGCGGGCAAGCTGTACATGTTGTTCTGCGACAATGACAAGTACGACAGGATGCCATAATCAAAGTTCCACCACAAGTTTCTTCACCACAATGTTTATGATTGCTGTTCCAATGCCAAGGGTTGAGTGCCACCTGGCTTACTCCTGGGCTCCAAGCAATCAGCGGTGTTCGGACCATGGCCCAAACTGAGATCTTTGATGCCTGACGGACCTGGAAAAAGAAGAAGAAGAAAAAACAATTTGCGTGTGCTCTGCAACCCGTCAGATTCCATGCGGTTGCACGGCAAAATCAATCGTTCTCCCCTTCATCCCCTCATGCCCGAAGCTCCAAGCTGGCCCTTGGCCCAAGTTCCGAAAGAAAATCGATCTGTTTGCTAGTCATTCCATCAGTCTTCGAAGTGGACAGGACAACTTTGGAAGACTAAAGACTAGCATCCCTTGTCCACTTCCAAAATTGCCGAAGAAATGGTATTCACGCTGCTGGCAATTGTCTGAAAGGTGACCCACCTTTCAGGTTCCATGTCAGACCTGGCCACGTCTTTGACACTTTCAGAACCCGAAGAACTCCCCGCCCCATGCGCCTCAAAGTGAAGGCCAGTCCTGCCATCTTGAGTGCCTTCACACGCCTCACTGCCCTTCAGCCGCAGTGAGGTCACAGCACCCAACCAAGGGCACCGATGGGGGTGCTCCTTCAGAGCGAATCAGGTTTTATATGGAAATACCATGGAGTGCTGACCATGGCTCATGTTGCTCTGCTCACTTCTTGACTGGATTGGCCAAAACAAGGTCCAAACTCTACAAGTGTCTCTTCGATCAAGCCTCGCCCACTGATCATAATCTATCTGGCAGTTGCCACATAAAAATAGTACATCAGTGATTGCTCATACAATAGCCTTCGCCTGTTGCATGATTTCAAGTCAGAGATCTGGCTGGCTCGTCTGTTGCTTTCAGTTTAGACTTCTCACAGACATTGTGCGATGGCGAGTCTACAAGGCTGCTGGTGAGTTGCCTATTGCTCAACGAAGACTTTCTTTCATTTGGAGGCTAAGCACAGCCAAAAGCACACAAGCCCCAAACCAATCACTGGTTTGAAGCTGAAGAAAGCACACCCACCACATGGGAAAGTCACCAGCCCAACATCAACACACAGAACCCTGCCCGTCCCCCGGCCACGACCCGCCTCGGGAGCTGCATGCCTACCACCAGGTGGGTCACTTCGCCACCGAAGGTCTCTGCAATGCGGCCCCCGCACTCGCGGACCCGGGCCTTGGTCCCGAAGCTTTTGGATTTGTTTGTGTGTGTGTGTGTTGTTCTTCCCCTTTTTTGGGGCGGGGGGGGGGGCATTCGTGAATATGTTATTTATGCATACTACACACATAAGTTACCCCAACCCCCCCCCTCCTTTTCCGGGTTGACGTTTATTTGTTGGCTTCTTTTTGTTCAGGCATTGCAAACACGCAGCCATAACAGCCCTTCTGTTTGCAAAATCCGTGGCCTGGGGTCACCAACAAACAATCCGAGCGCTTGCCCTTTGGGTTTGTTTCTCCATTGGAATCGCTGGGTTTCACACATATTGCGTGGAATGAAACTTAAGCCAGGGAATCCGTCCATGCTCAACTCAAAAAACCACATCTCTGTGCCTAACCGTCCCGTCCCGAGCCCTCAAATCCACAGGAATGTCCATAGTTTGATCACTGATTGGAAACCAGCCCTCCGTCCGACATCGAGAAAGGGGTCTGGAAGCCTGTGTGGAGTCCGGATTTTAAAATATTTGTCCTCGAAAAATGACTCGTGCTTCCTTTTGAACACTGAAAACAAGGATTGTGTTTTAGCACCTGGAGCCTCTAGCTCCTTGCAGCTCTACCGTCGAAAAAACATCTTCCCGGAAGCTTGAGCCCAATGGCTACCCTCTGCCACATGGCCTCGACTTCACTGGGTGTCAGATCCCCCCAAAGTTTAACTTTTAGTGGATTAAATGGGTATGGGTCAAAATTAAAGCACCAGGGGACCGCAGGTTTTAGTCCTTGGTTCCATTTACTAGGGTTCCAACATGGATACCCATTTTTGACCCACAGCCAAATGGAGATCCAGCCGCTAAACCAACTAAACAGCTACGCTAAGGAACCGAATGGCCCACCAAGTTCAGAGGTCCAAACGCCGACCAGTAGCCAACACCCTCCTATTGCGACGTTCCAAAGAAGAAAAGAGAGTCGAGCTTGATTTCAGAGCATTTCAAGCCTCTCAATGCCTCCAGTCTAAACATGTTTGGACAAGCGTCTATAGTGCCCTGTTCTCAAACTTGGCATCAAGCTGCCTTTCACCCTCTGCGAGACGTGTCACAATGCCGAACTCACAACGACAAAAGCTGCCAGCAGGATGCCCAAGCATTGCATCATTCATGGTACAACCCACTGGTAGATTTGCTTTGCTCACCCCAAATGCCAAAACAAGCCGACATACATAAATACGCACGTACATGTATGCACGCATGTCAGTTGTTCCCAGCAACAAGCTGTATCATCGTGCAAGTAACATCACGTATATTCTTGTCGCAAAAGATAAGATAGTGCATCTGTAGACAGGAACATCTACTTGTGATCTCATGAGTCTTTAGCAAGAACACGAATACATTTTACTAATCACTTGCTGTCTCCACAAGTCAGAGACGTGATTCATCCAGTGTGATGAGCTCTTCAAGCTTCTGCACGCTTAGCCATCTTCTCAAGAGAGTAGATTCGGTGTGCCTATCTCACTCATAAGCTGGAACCTGCCCACCATTTGTCTACGAAGATTAGACCAGTTGATCGAAGGCTTGCCTAGTTCTCACGAATTCTCTACAAACATTCTAAAGGCATGTGATATGACATATCTCACTTGGAGGTGCTCTCAATGCCCTTGTTCAGATTTTGCTCGCCGACTCTGTAGCCACCGCAGCAACTCCCGGCCGTCCACCCGCCCCACCCTTGGCGCCTCAAGCAAGCGCTTCCGGGTCAGGGACATGGCTGTTCCCCCTGGAGCAAGGCGACTCACTCAAAGGGCCAATGGGCCAAGGAACCAAACGAACCACTTGGCAAGTCTTCGGATGTTGGGGCGCATGTCTACAATCACCCCATATGCCACCGCTCAGAGGCGATCTGCGGGTATGCTGAGCAACTGGTCGGCTCGCGGTACCCCATCGATGCCCTATGTAAAATTAATTAGCCTGACTATGCTTATCATGACGCCAAATGGTGAAGAGGAAAGCAACGTGACCGACCTGATTCACAAGGTCCTGCTGGCATCCAACCTGAAACCAGTCCAAATGGTTTCCTTCACGGGCGAGGCTTACATGGGTGCTGCACTGCATCGGCAATGCCACCGCGTGGCAAGATATAAAAATGCCCGGCGCCGACTCGGCAATCAGGATCAGAAATCCCAAAGCAGAAAACTGGGAGCGTGCAAGCCGTTCATCTTCCAAGCCAGATGTTCCAGGGAGAATCTGCCTATACCGGCAGATTGAGGGAAGAAGGCCGCAAAGGGAACAAGGGGGTCGTTGCACCCAATGCATGTCCACCTGTCAGGAGCGAAGAATGAGAACTGAGCCATTTACCACGCCGTCGTACCCTTCTCGTATTTCAACCTTTTTGTTTCGTTCCCAAAAGAAACTTAGCAGGGCCCAAAGTTCGGTCAGAGAGTTTCCCATATGTGCTTCCTGCCTAAACGCACGGGCAACTCACCTGAGGCCAAAATCCTCATGGTGATGTTTAGAACCAGCAGGTGAAATAGAAGAACCCGGCAACGCGGAAGTCCCACAAATCTGCATACTGACTGCGGCCCGAGATCCGATCGTCTCGCAACAGCGTTCCAATTGGCTGGCCACGGGCGGCGCTCCTTACGCTTGCAGCGCTTACAGTTCTGTGAACATCACACCTGGAAACTTGGCCAGATGGTTCAAAGAGTGAAACAAATTTGCTTGCATGCTTGTCGACGCCAAGCCAAAACGAGCACTGCAACATTTCTGCGGTCCCTCTTTGCTACTCAACTGATTCGCGCGCCTGCCCAGACGAGAATCACGCAGCCAGAGAAGATGCCCTGGCGCCGTCGGCTTACGCAGGCTGTCAATATCCCAAACGGCGCCCGAAGCCGCAGGCCTTGTCTTTTGATTTTTTGGGAGCCCCCTTGTCCGGGAAGAACCGGGTGCGACTGGGTAACTCGGGCAAGTGCACTGGGTAAGGTCGTTTTACTGAACACGACATCCAGTTCAAAGAACCAAACGGGGAAACATTTGCAAATTCTCAGGGTTGACACGTTAACAGACCTCAGCATCCTCCCTGCCTGTGTGGATATGCGGGCGTGGTTCCCTGCATGCATCGATATTACGTCTTGTCAATACGTAATACTAATATCGATGCATGAACGGAACCACACCAAGATGTCGCAACTCCAACTCATAAGTGCCATAACCTGAATTTGACCAAGTGTCGGGTACTGTGCATGTGATGGCGGAGAAGCATGATGGGCCCAAATTCCGTCTTTGATTTCGGTTGACCCAAAGTAGGTTGTTGAAATTGCCATACATCAACCAGGCTAGCAACGCCTCACATGCCCTGAACCAGTCGGGAGTTGCATTGCGGATTGGCACATGTCGGCCTTGAGGTTGGGAACGCCCCAAGCCCCCGGTTTGACGCAAGAAACAAACCATGGATTGAAGTAAATCAACTCTCTGATCCATGCAACAGAGGCAAAGTATATATTAATATTCGGCGCTGTGAATTGCCACTTTCTGCCGGCCTCGGCTTGCACAGGTGCATCTAGGACCTAGCGAGCAGCGCGGTGTGCGTATCCGGCCCTCAACCTTATTTACAACCAAGTTATCTAGGTCCTCCAGTAGAGGTTAGAATAAGGGTACCAACTTTTTTCTGTAGTCTATTTTAGTAGGGGAACCCTCCTCTCAGAAAGGGTAAAAGGGCACTACTGGGGGACCTAGCAGATATTTGCCGGGTCGAGATGAATCGCATCACTTCTTAGAACCAGGCTTAGAACCTTCCCGGCGAAACGTGTAAAACACATACTGTGCCAGAAGAATTACAGCGGGGTTTCGCCCTGAATTACTAAATGACCTCATGGGCGGATGTGGTTAGCCCTTTTTGCCACCAAGGGTTACAAGATCTCAGTTGAAAGCCGAGAAGATTGATCAACCCCATGTGAACATATAACCAAGGGAAGCAGGGAAGATGTTTCTCAACGGGAAACTGAGCGAATCTCGCGCTTCTCCTTCCGGGTGCCTGTGGCCCTTCTGGGCCAGCAGTTCGAGGGGAAAACTCCGCTGAGAAAAACGGAGGGACACTGGAGGACGAGGCGACACCCTCCTAAAAAAGAGGGAATTCTTTGAACCTGAAAAAAGGAGGGAAACACCCTACTAAAAACCTGACAAAGGACACACCTGAGGTCTGAGTTGATAACAGTTCATCAGTTGCGACGCCTCGTTCAGCACGCTGCTAGCGCCCCAGATATGAAGGACGGCACCATCTACGAGAGCCCCAGCTTCTCTTGCACCAGGCTGCTGTCTCCTCCTTTTACCGGATCACCCCAGGTCACAACAATCCCAGATTCAAGAATGGCAGCGAAAGCACCGTCAGTTGCTTGGATGTGCTGGACGTTCCTCAGCTGCTCTTGCACCAGGCTGCTGTCTCCTCCATTTTTCGGATCACCCCAGGTCACAACAGCCCCAGATTCAAGAATGGCAGCGAAAGCATAGCCAGTTGCTTGGATGTGCTGGACGTTCCTCAGCTGCTCTTGCACCTGGCTGCTGTCTCCTCCATTTTTCGGATCACCCCAGGTCACAACAGCCCCAGATTCAAGAATGGCAGCAAAGGCACCCGCAGTTACTTGGATGTGCTGGACGTTTCTCAGATGCTCTTGCACCTGGCTGCTGTCTCCTCCATTTTTCGGATCACCCCAGGTCACAACAGCCCCAGATTCAAGAATGGCAGCAAAAGCACCAAGCGCAGTTGATTGGATGTGCTGGACGTTCCTCAGCTGCTCTTGCACCTGGCTGCTGTCTCCGCCCCATTCTGGACGACCCCAGGTCACAACAGCCCCAGATTCAAGAATGGCAGCGAAAGAACCCTCAGTTGCTTGGATGTGCTGGACGTTCCTCAGCTGCTCTTGCACAAGGCTGCTGTCTCCGCCATATTGAGGATGACCCCAGGTCACAACAGCCCCAGATTCAAGAATGGCAGCAAAAGCACCAAGCACGGTTGATTGGATGTGCTGGACGTTTCTCAGCTGCTCTTGCACCTCGGTGCTGTCTCCGCCCCAGCTTTCAACACCCCAGGTCACAACAGCACCAGATTCAAGAAGAGCAGCAAAAGAAGCCTCAGTTGCTTGGATGTGCTGGACGTTCCTCAGCTGCTCTTGCACCAGGCTGCTGTCTACTCCATTTTCCGGATCACCCCAGGTCACAACAGCCCCAGATTCAAGAATGGCAGCAAAAGCGCCGTCACTTTCTTGGATGTGCTGGACATTCTTGAGCCGCTCTTGCACCTGGCTGCTGTCTCCTCCTTTTTCCGGATCACCCCAGGTCACAACAATCCCAGATTCAAGAATGGCAGCGAAAGAAGCCTGAGTTGCTCGGATGTGCTGGACGTTCCTCAGCTGCTCTTGCACCTTGCTGCTGTCACCGCCAAAACGTGGAGCACCCCACGTCACCACTTCGCCGCCGTGGTCACACAAAGCAAACGCGTTACTAGAGGCAGCCAGTTTGCCGAGCTGCACAACCGCCGCCACTACGTCCCGGTCTCCCAATCCGAGCTCGCTCAGCGTGGCCGTCAAATCGAGCTGCCGGCCTTTCGCAATGAGCTTCAATCGGCGCTGGAAATGCTGCTGCGCTGCAGCCTTCAGCTCGCTGATGTGCGTACCCGGTGAGACTGATATGGAGCAACCGTCTCCATTGGGCAAGTGCACATCCACCTTCATGGCGCAGGACGGTTCGTCCAAGTTGACAAGCGCGAGCCTGCGATGCAAACACACGGAGATGCTTTCTGAGTGGCATGTTGATGGTACCTCAACATTTGGGAGGCTTCACATCCTGTGACACATTGACACATGCAACAAAAGTTCCTTCATGGGGCTTAAACCGTCACATCTGTGAGGCCCCAGCCGGCACTTCGGCGACTACAGTACCTTTTTGCTGATATTGCTGGTATGTACAGCTGGCGAGGGAAATGCCAAACCAAAGATGACAGACTCGCCGAAGTCCGCTCACGAGCTTAAACCAAGACATGCTGCCGCTGCCACAGGATGATGCACATGAGGGATGATGAAATAATACTAATTGCAGCTAGACCAAGCAAAACACTTTGGATTGGGAGGGAACAAAAACAGGCTGGCAACTCAAAGTGACTTAAGTTCCTCAGCTGAAGCCCGAGATATCAACGACTCATTGGCAATCACACCGGTACCGGTCTCCGTTTGCCACCGGACCTGAAGAGCTTTTCAAGTGAGTCACAAGCCCAGTAATCGTCCCAGGCCTAACCACTGAATAGCTCTCTGAGCCCTTGTGGCCCCTTAACTAGGGGTTCTCATTTGCATTTGTTTGAATCCTAATTCGCAAGCCATCCCAAGTGGTTGTGGCTGGCAGCTCAAAGGCTGTATGTATGAAATCCTGTTTTGAACCCCAGCTTATTGGATGGCTAACTATACGGCCAGCCCCTGAGGGTTGCCTGCGCCCCAATGCAACGCCCCAACGCCCGAACCTAGACTTCCTAGAGACCTAATCCGCCTGTTACCACGTTCGCGAATTAGTCATAGCCAAGCGCTAGGGCAGAGACGGCGGCTGCTTAATGTGATATCTTGAAAGCTTCTAAGCCATGCACCAGCAGCTTGCCTGCAAAGGGTCACGTCACTAACCTAGAAAACTTCAAGCATGAACCTAAACCCTAAAACTACACCCTAAACCTAAACCCTAAACCTAATCCCTAAACCTAGTCCCTAAACCGGAACCCCAATGTGAACCTAAACCCCAAACCTAAACCCCAAACCTAAACCCCAAACTTTGCACCCTAAACCTAAACTCTAAACCCAAACCCAAACCTAATCCCTAAACCTACACCCCAAACCTGAACCCTCAACCTAAACTCCTGTAAACCCAACATCCACGCCCTGAAACTGAACCCTAAACCAAAACCCTGGACAGGGATTCGGGCACGGCAACCCTCGCGGGCTGTGGGAAACTATATGTTGAATGATGTGAAACCAGAAAGATCAAAGTCTTTTGCGGGGTCCTGACCCAAACATTTGGGCCTTGCCTTTGTTTCAATTTGTTTCCCTTTCACAAGCGAACAAAAGACGGTGTGGGCCCATTGTTGGAATGGGGAGTTTACAAGGGCAGGCACTCACTAGCCTCACTACACCAAACAGCAAACCCTTGTTTAACGACTTGCAACTAGTCGAGAACCCTCCCAGGAAATGACGAACCCTTCTCGTCGCTCCTCGCATGCGCCAACCCTTAGCCTTGTCCTGTTGGTCTAAACCGACAACCCTTTTGTGCTGGTGCTATTGTTTAACCGAAACCTGGGTTGCTTCGAGCAAAAGGTCGATCACCTTTTGCAGGTTTGATGATGCCCTATCAAAACACACGAGGGCCGGACCTCACCGGCATCCACCCATTCAGAATCATAGCAAGGTGGTCATACCAATGGCCATGGGTCAAAATCCAAATCGTAGCCCCAGTGAACATCCCAATCCCCACTAAAATTGACTAAAATGGGTGGTGCACCTACCCTAAAATGGTACCATTGGTTTTGACCCACAGCCAATATGTTGGGGGCTAAGAGCATAGGTATGACTTCCCGCGCACTTGTCCCGAATTGACTTGCCGAAAACCAATCAAGATGACCTTCGCATTGGAGGAAATTACTCTTTCATTCACACGCCGGCAAATATAAATAGCACAGAACATATGTTTTTTGGCTTACTGTGCTGCTTGACACGTGCTTGATGGCGCAGGTGCAAACATGTTCAACCGTGGTCTGTCTCCATCTGCTTCCCATTGAAGCAAGCCAGTTCCCTCATTTGGTTGCCTAGGCTGGCTCAAACCGCACCTAAACTAGGGCCTTTTTTTTACAAGCGCTGGCAGCCACTGGCAACATCCCAAGCATCACTTGGACCAGGTTGGGCTGGAGCCTTCCTTCTAGGTTGCCCCAAAAATCACCAAACCACACCCTAAACCGACCGTAAAGCCGCTGCCAAACCAGCCGCTGAGCCCAAGGTCCAAGTGAGGCCGGTGATGTTGGGAATGCGGGCAACCAACCAATGAACCAACTAACCAAACAAACAACAAGGCCGACCAGTCCAAGTTTCAAAACGTAACAGCTCCAGTACTTGCTGCTTCGCCCCGCCCTCTTTTGCAGCCAGCCTCCGAAAGCTGTACAGGTGCGTCCGCAGCGCTTGCAGCCCGGTGGGCAGCCTCGTCGCCCAAAACGAGAGTTGGAGTCGTTTGAGAAAGAGAAACGGCGGGCCCCGCATTTGCACCTGACACATAGCCATGAAAGCAAGCCAGGCGCCTTGGCCTTAACACTTATGAGAAACACACACACACACACATTGGGAAAGTGCAGGACGCAATCTTGATTGTGCAAGTTTCGCACTTTCTCCAAGTATGGATTCTACTTCACAGACTCTGAGTGTCCTCCAAGTGGATCTTTCCGCACATTTATTCTTGCCTCGGACCTTGCAAACCCCTTATTTGAAGAGTCGCTTTGCTCTCCATGTAGTGGCTGTAATATTTCCGGCAGAACGCAACTCAAGGAGTCTAGCTGTGTTCGAATGGCTGCGGAAAACCATCTCACGCAAAAGGCGGCCATATGTCTCTGTACAATTACAATAAACTGCTTGATACAAATGTACCCTCGGAACCTGTGTTTCTGGCATCACTTGCAGCTTGACACGCGCTCGTGCTCTCCGTCTGCTTCCAATTCAAGTAGCCCTGTCCTCTCATCATTTGGTTGCGCAGGCTTGGCCGAACTGCGCCTACCAACCCCGCATCTTCCTGTCTGCGGACCTGACCAACATGCAAAACCCACCGAGAAAGGAGAATTTGAACAATGTCATGCTTGCAAAGCAACACAACAAGCAGAGTGTACCCAAACACTGGCAGCTATCAAAGCAAAGCCGACAGCCCACGTGCCTCGCCCCGCCCTCTTTTGCAGCCAGCCTCCGAAAGCTGTACAGGTGCGTCCGCAGCGCTTGCAGCCCGGTTGGCAGCCTCATGGCCAAAACGAGAGTTGGAGTCGTTGGAGGAAAGAGAAACGGCGCTACGGGCAGACGGGCCCCGCATTGGCACCTGACACGTAGCAATGAAAGCAAGCCAGGCGCTCTGGCCGTAATACGTAAAAGACACACACACATTGGGAAAGTGCAGTTTGTGCAAGTTTCGCAAGCAAGCACGCCAACCGAAAGTTGTAATTAATTGCCGACATCCCCTGGTTCGCTACTTAGTTGCATCATTGTACCTCTGCAGATTCCATGCGTCTGCTTGTGAGTTTAAACATATAGATGGAGAGCGACAGCGGCGATGGCTCCAGCAGTGATTGATGATAGTTCACCGGTACTTGGGGTGGCGGGGACAGTTTGTCCTTTTATTTCCCACACAACGCTGCTGCGTTGTGTGAGCGATACGTTCATGTGAGTATGAATGGTGTTCTTCATGGTACCCTTCTTGGGCTGGTTTAAATGGAGCCAAAACACAACCAAGATTTGTTGGTCCCCCAATGTTTGACACGTTCCCACATATGATGTACATGATATGAATGAATTGTAGATGCTTAGATGCACCTGCTGATGGCCCACTGCGGTGCTCCAGAGCCAGTTGTCCACTTTCAAGAGCAACACACGGCTCATGGGCCCGTGGTGAGAAAACTCGTTCCAGTCAGGTGCCAAGAAGACGAATTCCTACTCCTTGGAGAAAGTGCACTATTTAGGGGCGGCAACACAAATGAGCTTCAGCCGCCTTTTGCTTCTCCTTTAAAACAAGCCCCAAAACGGGGTCCGCCTAAAACAAACCAAACAAGAAAATCTCGGGACCTGATGAGCGATCCCTCCAATTGGTGCTGACCTGTCCCCCCTGAATTCCCTCACCAAGATTCCACTTCAGACAAGGTTGAAAAGGAGGACCCCTTATTTTTGGTCTCCTCTAAAAAAACATCGCATTAGTGCTAACCTTCCCTGCCCCTCCCCCCCCCCCCGCCCAGAAAATCCAAACAACATGAAAACACTATTCTAAATTCCAAAAACTATTGCGAATATGCCTTCCAATGCTGCTTTCTTTCAAAGTTCCATTGATTGCCATGACAGCTCTCTCAAAAGTCAGCTATCCAGGAAGAGCAGATTTAGTACTTCAGTTTGTTTAACAACAGATCATGGTGTGACGGGCTCACAAAAAACGTACCCCCCGTTCAAGGCCAGTCCCCGAAACAAAATACAAACTGACTATAATCACGGCCCTCTCCAGCACTGGACAAATAGAACACTTTGTGCTTTTCTACCGGTATTGCAGTCCTGTTGCCCAAGACAGGGGGACGGGACTTGGGGTCAAAGAAACCCCATGTCGGTCAACGAACTCCCCCCAGCCTTGCCGTAGAGCCAGGAAGCCAAGTCCTGCAGCCCAAAGTTCCTGCCAGCGCCGCTGGAGAAGAAGGAGACAAACCCCGCGCGTCTTGTTTTAGAACCCCCTGCTGCTTCAAAGACAAAATGAAACCGCCCATTTTGAGTTCCCTAATTTTGAGAACCCATGTGTGGGTCAAAACTCCGGGTGGGCAGGAAGCCTCATGGTTGTCGAAATCTCCCAAGGGCATCCTCCAAAGAAAGCACGGGCACCCTCAAACAAAGACACGCCCACCAGGCCTCGAGTTGCTGACAGGCAGCTTCATCTCGCTGCCCTCGGCCTCCAAAGCCGTATTGGAAGCAGACAAATCCATCCGCTGCTGGGAAACCAGTGTGTGTGTGTGTGGGTGGGTGCGTGCGTGCGTGCGTGCGTGCGTGGGTGCGTGGGTGGGTGGGTGGGTGGGTGGGTGTGTGTGTGTGTGTGTGGGTGGGTGGGTGGGTGTGCGTGCGTGCGTGGGTGCGTGGGTGCGTGGGTGCGCGGGCGCGTGGGCGCGTGGGCGCGTGGGCGCGTGGGCGCGTGGGCGCGTGGGCGCGTGGGCGCGTGGGCGCGTGGGCGCGTGGGCGCGTGGGGCGTGTGCGTGCGCGTGCGCGCGTGTGCGTGCGTGCGCGCGTGTGCGTGACCGCGTGACCGCGTTGTGGGTGGGGGGTGGGGGAGGGGGGGGGTTGAGTGGGTGGGTGGGTGGGTGGGTGGGTGGGTGGGTGGGTGGGTGGGTGGGTGGGTGGGTGGGTGGGTGGGTGGGTGGGTGGGTGGGTGGGTGGGTGCGTGCGTGCGTGCGTGCGTGCGTGCGTGCGTGCGTGTGTGTGTGTGCGGAGTGTCAGATTTACCCTGACACCACCTTTCCCGACGTCACTATGCTTGTCAGCAGACCGTGCCTAACAAAGGCTATGCAATCTGGCGGGATGCGGAGTCTGATCATCTCCGCGTGCCTGCGCAACTCGCGTGATTCAAAGTCCTTTTGGCCCGTTGTTTCTCTCGCTGTGTGTGCTTCTTGTTGAATCTTGTAACGTTTTCGTCACTAGAGGGAAACCGAGTGCATCGCGAGCCGAAACTTATCTTACTCGAGACTTATCAGCTGTACTCGAGACTCATCAGTTGTACTCGAACGATTAGCATCCTCCCTTGGGAGTTGAAGTGTGTGTGTGTGTGTGGGTGGGCGGGCGGGCGGGTGGGCGGGTGGGTGTGGGTGGGGGTGGGCGTGTGTGTGTGGGTGTTGGGTGTGGCTGTGGCTGTGGGTGTGGGTGCGCGTGCGCGTGCGCATGCGCGTGTGCGTGACCGTGTGCGTGTGCGTGTGGGTGTGTGTGTGTGTGTGAGGTGTGTGTGTGTGTGTGTGCGTACGCGAGTCTATGTCTGCGTCTGTGTCTGTGACTCTGTCTGTACCTGTCACTGTGTCTGTTCTCTGTCTCTGTCTGTGTCTCCGTCTGCGTGCTTCTGTGTGTGTGTGTGTGTTTGTGTGCGCGTGTCTGTCTGTTTCCGTGTGTGTCTGTGTGTTTCTGTTTGTTTCTATGT